TAATCTTATTAGATCAGCTTCAAATTCAATTTATATCCTAGGTTCTTTAAGAGAACATCTTGATAATATTGATCTACGTAACCCAAATATAGCAGATACTAAATTGAATGGAATAAGTTTTTCTTAATGCAATCTGAGCAACTCTTAATTGAATAATGTATCTATTGATTCATGTAATCTTAATTATGCAACAATAGAAAATGCTACTTGGAAAAATTTGATTTGTAAAGAAAAACCATCAATAAAGGCTCATTCTGAAACTATTCAATAAGTTGTTTTTAGTGATGATGGAAATTTTCTTATATCAGGCAGTAGAGATGGAGTTATTATTAAATAGGAGTTATCAGCTGATTCAGAAATTAAAAAGGCAATGCTACCTAATGATGATTATTTACAGAAGTTTTCTATCGGAAAAAATTTGCTTGCCTGTCTTTCTTAGTAGTTTTTATACTTATATAATTTAATTGATTTGAGAGAATTAAAAAAGTTTCCTAAAACTAGTGAATATTTTTAAGGCGTTGATATTCATATTTCTTCAAATGATAAATATCTAGCTGTATCATTAAGAAATGGTAAAATACTCTTTTTTGTTAGTAGAAAATCTACTACAATAATCAGCATAATAACCAAAATATTTGTCAAGACAAAAGAATTAAAATATAATTGAATGTATAGCAATTTCTCCAAATTACCAGCTTTTAGCTACAGGGGATACTCAAATTAAAATTTGGAATTCTACTAAAATTTCAGATGTTTAATTAATTTTAGAACTCCCATAATAAAATCATTCAATACTAGCCATTGCATTTTCAAAGGATAATTAGGTATTGGCTGTAGCAAGAGAAAATGAGAAGTTAGAATTTTGGAATATTGAGAATCTCAATAAAGTTTTATTATAGTATACTTTTTACTCACAATAAAGCATATAATAAATTGTATATTCAAATAATGGATCACTATTTGCTTCTCGATCACAAAATTTTTTGAAAGTACATGATGTTCAAAAGTTACCTGATCAATAAGACTATTTTAAAATAAACTCTAATCTATAAGTCGATTTAATGGAAATCTCTTAAGATGGTGCAATTTTGGCTATTAGTCATACATAAACTTCTGAAAGTCATAATCCTAAGATTACAATATGGGACATTAAAAACTTATAATAAATTAAGAGAAAATCGGTTTTTGAAAAACATTAAAAAAATATTAAAACTTTAAAATTCAGAAATGATAATTTAGTTTTAGGTTCAGGTGGCTTAGATAATACAATTTGTTTATGGGATTTACTAAGACTACAATTAATTGTGAAATTAACATCTCATTCAGATCAAGTTTTAGATCTAGCATTTTCATAGGATGGAGATCAAATGGTCTCTTCCAGTTTAGATGGCACTATAATTTTTTGGAGTATCACCAACTTAGATAAACCATAAATTTAATATACATTATAATAACAACTTGGAACTAAAAAGTTGATTTTTTGTCCAAATAGTTCACTTTTAGTGTCACTCTATGGTTATTCTTAGGATGAAATTATATAATGGAATTCTACTGAATTTAAGAAAATTTCAACATAAAAATAATAAACATAATTTATAGACATAAATTTTAGTGAGAATGGAGACATTATGGTATCTTTAAATTAAGATAGATTTCTTAGAATTTGGAAAAGAAATGAATTGTGTTTTGATGTTGAAAAATAAATCAAGATTGAGGGAGAAGAATAATTGTATAAAGCCTATTGT